TATGTTCAAAAGTTACAGACCTAAAACATCAATCTATTTTTCATAAACAAAATTCAATATCAGTTCATGATTGGTGGTTGACTTAATAGTATCAATGATGGTTTCCTCAGACATACCCATCCTTGACAATATTTCAAACTGCTTGTTTTAGCATATGAAAAATAATATCCTGTATATTTATTTATTTTTTGTTTTGGTTATGATGCATTAGTAAAGTTGGTGGTCCATTCTATTGAAATCGATTTGTTTTACTGATTTTTGCTGGTATTTTAAAATGGCACAAGTTACAGCAATAAATGTCATTTTCACGTAGATAAGTTACGCGGCCGGGTATCTGGCCAAGCCGTGGCATCCCCTAGCAAGGACGATTCTTGAGTGCCCGTACAGAGCCGTCTATGACATGCTTCGCTCGCGGACGCGACCCCTCGGGATNTTTGCGGGAAATTGGGGTTTTTTATTGTATATAGTATGTCTCATGTGTTGTGTGTCTATATGTTTGTCTGAGTGCATGTATTTATTAGCGTGAATGGCGAGGGGTGAGGGTGAAATATAACATCATCATCGCCCCTCGAACGTTGAGAGCGTATGAGTATGTGTTCGGGGTCGATGGCGGAATATTTCAAGCACTGAAATCGGGGAAATCCTGAACATCTGGTTTAGCTAAAAAGGTAGAATTTATGGGCAATTGCTTTACTGTTTTGTTTGTCTGCGTTTGTAAATGTTCATATTTCTGAATGATCTTTGAAATTTCTGTTGGCTGTAAAGAGGATTCGTTTAAGGCTATTTTGAGATTAGTAAGATTGATGTCTTCTATAAATTTTTCATGAATGTCCGGAGGGGAAGGCAACATAGATTTGCTACATGAGGGTGGTTCCGAAGTCTGAAATCCCTCCGAAAAAGTAGGACATTTCTGTTGAGCAATGTTCCTTATAGCCTCACAAAACGCTGATTTATTATCCTCTGCACAAAATTTTTCAGCCTCTTGCGTGATAGAATCTAATAAAGTAACTGTACTCTGCCTAATAACTTCGTGAAATGTTTTGTGCAACTTTTACAATTGTGAGATGATTTCCTTTGATTTTTACCCATTGTAATTTAGTTAAACTATATACAAAAAAAATGAATGGAAATTTTAAAATATGAATATAATAATAACAAAATATACAAAATAAAATTTTAACTCCCTCAAACCAATGATAAATGAAAATTTTAGAATATGAATATAATGCAAAGTAAAATTTTTAACTGTTTAAATTTTAACCTAACAAAAAATAATAAATGGAAATTTTAGTGAATGAATATAATACAAGGTAATATTCTAAATGTCTAACAAAAAAATATGTTCTTAATGAAATAATTCTTAAATTTGTAAATAAATAAATAAATTATAAAAGATTCAATAATATTACTTTTTTATTTGCACGTGTGAAAGTATCGCTCGCTACCAATATTTATTACGTGTTAGGGTGAATCCCCTTCACACGATGCAAACTCGTTTCCTTGCGAGTGTAAAATAAAAATAAGAAAAAATATTTGTGCCACAAACTCAATTAAAATTAAACGGAAACGACAAAAATTGGGACCTGATCCAAACAAATTATAACAAAGCCTTCAAAAAAATAAATGTATTTAGATTTGAAAAAATAAAAGTAAAAATATGTGATCTATGACATACGCACTCTCCTTGCCATTTACATAAAAAAAGAGCAGGTGCCTTCAAGCAAAATTGAGAGAGAGTCCTTCCTTGTCCTTTCGTAGCTCAGCTCGCACTGCCCGAGCCTGCGGTAGGGGATCCACGTTTTTAAAAATAATGTTATATAGTTGAGATAAAAAAGGAGGGAAAATTCAAAAGGTGGGGTTGAGATGGGAAGTTAGTGTCCGAGTGGGTCGAAGTCACGATAGCTCAAGTGGTAGAGTAGCGGCGTATCTAGCCGAAGGTCGTGGGTACGATTCGCGCTCGTGACACTGAGTTTTTTTATCTCAACTAAGAACTTTAATTATTGATAAAGTTAAACCTAAAAGCACACACGGAACAGTTTGAAACCAGGCTATTCCCGGTGGCCGATAGGACTACTTCTTTTTTTTTTAAATTAGGAACATTAAGTGCAATGACTTACTTGGTGGACTGTTATAAAGAGTTTTTTAGATACAGAAATGTCGAGACCTTTCAAAAAACTAGACAGTTTAATTCAACCCCCTTTCCTAAAAAGCCTGGAAACATGATCCTATTAACAAAACGTCAACCTTCTGGATTTCCCTAAGAGCAAAAAATAGGCCGCATAGGTAAAAAAGACAGAGGAAAACTCGGAAGTCAAGTATAAACTCTTCAATGCATAATCGTACAAAAATGATGCAATAGAAATTAATGTAAATGACAAATAATTTATACTTTCTTTTCCGGTAAAAAAATAAACGAAAACGTAATTCATTTAATGTTATTATTGGCCGGATGGCTGGCAGGGTAGACATACGAAATTCGTTCCGTACTCGTTTAATTTCGGTATTAAACAGAATTTTTCCTATGTAATTTAATTGACCCTAGTAATCCATTTAGAAGGGCTGAAAACAAGACTCCCTTGGCGTTAAAAGCAATAAAATAAAATGAACGAACCCGTCCATCATAAAACGAACAATGGGTAAGATTAAGTTGTTATATGGTACTAAACGAAATTTATTGAAAAAGCGTTTACAGAAGATTGAAATTTGTTAATATTATTTTTTAGAGCAATTTTGTATATCGATATGCTTCGGTTTTAACAGTGATAGTTCAGTTCGAAAATTTGATTTGTGCTACGTACAATAAAAACACTAGAGAGAGAGAGAGAGAGAGAGAGAGAGAGAGAGAGAGAGAGAGAGAGAGAGAGAGAGAGCGTGAGAGGGAGAGAGAGAATGAGAAACAGACAGAGAGAGAGAGAGAGTGAGAGAGAGAGAGTAAAAGAAAGAGAAAGCATGGGTTTAAGAAAAAATAGATAATGACACTGGGAGAGAAAGAGATAAAGAGAGAGATATATCAAGAGCTTAAGAAAAAGAGAACGAGATTAAGTGAAAGAGAAGACCTAAGAAAGAAAAAACAGTATGAATGAGACAGAGAAGGCGCGTACGAACTGGAAAGAGAGAGAGAAAGTGTGGGATCGTGAAGAGAGAGAGAGGGTGAGAGAGAATGTAAGAAAGATAGATAAACAGATAGATTAAAGAGACTGTGAGAAAGAGAAAGCATGGGTGTAAGAAAAAATAGATAATGACACTGGGAGAGAAAGATATAAAGAGATATAGAAAGAGATTAAGAAAAAGAGAAAGAGATTAAGTGAGATAGAGAGACCTAAGAAAGAAAAACAGTATGAATGAGACAGAGAAGGCGAGTGTGTGAGAAAGAGAAAGTATGGGTGTAAGAAAAAATAGATAATGATACTGGGAGAGAAAGAAATAAAGAGAGAGAAAGATATAGAAAGAGATTAAGAAAAAGAGAAAGAGATTAAGTGAAAGAGAGAGACCTCAGAAAGAAAAAACATCATGAATGAGACAGAGAAAGCGAGTGCGAGCTGGAAAGAGAGAGGGAAAGTGTGGGACCGTGAGAGAGAGAGTGACAGAGCGAGAGAGAGCATGTAAGAAAGTTAGATAAACAGATAGATTAATGGAAGAAAGAGAGAGAGAGAGAGAGAGAGAGAGAGAGCGAGAGATAAAGAGAGAGAGAGAGTGTGTAAGCTTGAAAGAGAGAGGGACAATGTGCGAGCATGAAAGATAGAGAGAGAGGCAGAGAGAGGAGACAGAGAGAGAAAAAGAGAGAGAGAGGGTGAGAGAGAGAGGGAGAGAATGCAACAAAGACTGATAGATAAACAGTCAGATTACAGAGAGTGTGAGAAAGAGGGTATGTGTGTAAGAAAATATGATAATGATAGTAGGAGAGAAACAGATCAAAAAAGAAAGAGATCAAAAAAGTTATAAACATAAAGAGAGCATCTACAAAGAGAAAGTGAAAGAGAGAGAAACTTACAGAGAAAAAAGAGTCTGAGTGAAATAGAGAGAGAGAGAGAGAGAGAGAGTGGGTGAGAAAGTGTGGGAGCGTGAAAGAGTCAGTGAGGCAATAATTTATATGTTGGAGCTTTTTATAACTGATTGCTTAGATAAATGTTTCGACCTGTTTATACTCCATACAACATTTAAGGACGGTGATACGCCGAAACGACTCTGACAGACAGTTGCACAATATTGCAATAAATGTACGTATGTTTTTATACATTTGAATGAATACATTTTAATCCAGGTCATTAGTATTAGCCAAATATAACTGAAAGAAGTTGAAAATGAGAGATATTTTTACAGTTTCTATTTCGACGGATTAACAGGAAAATAAGTACATCGGGGAAAAATGGAATAACGCGGCCCGGTAAGTGCTCTATTTTTCACAATGCCCAGAAAGACCAATAATACCGGGGGCCAGGATATAAAACCAGAGGTATAAACGGCCCCTTCACTTCAGAAAAGGTCAATTATGGACATCCAAGTCCGTTCTCGCCTTTTCAACGGGCTTCCAGAATTAATACAGAAAATATACAAAACATAATATTTTGAACTATTGTATTAGTTGAACGTTCAGAGGTTGTTTGATTTGGGATTGATTTGATTTAAAAAGAATGCTTCGAGTAATCCATTTGCTAGACGATCCGGGGTTATATTTGCAATGGAGGTGATGCTTTATAAAAACCCATTGGGACGTGCCGAAGCACGTTCATACACTTAAACCCCTCATTATAATACAACACAGAATGGTTTTCGGTTTTCACTTACAGAAGAGTACATCACCAATTCAATGAGAGCCAGCGTTTTTACATTTCCCACAAGTGCCAAAAAATTAACAGAACAGAAATATTAAGAATTGTTTAAATTGAACTGACAAAATTTTGTTAACTAATATAAATTTTGAATAATTACTTAGTCTTTCTTTAAAAATTAATTGCAAAACGAATAAGTTGTTAAAAAGCATTTTGTTTGTTTCAGGAATGAAAGAAGAATGGAGGTGAAGGCAAGATAAAAAAACACGGAAAGCGATGGTAATTGCAATGCCGGAATCGGTGTCGTCTACCGGAGGATGTGTTAGGTGACGGCCACGAAATGATAATGGCAAACAATACTAGTTTAGCCTGGGACACCGGCAACTATTCATTCAACGACACGTACGAAGACGGAAACCAGTTCGTCCTGCCGCTGTGGAGGCAGCTTATATGGACGTTCCTCTTCGGCGGGATCGTGATAGTGGCGACCGGTGGTAACCTCATAGTCATATGGATAGTGCTTGCTCACAAACGGATGCGGACCGTGACCAATTACTTCCTCGTCAACCTGGCGATCGCCGACGCCATGGTGTCGAGTCTGAACGTCACCTTCAGCTATTCTTACATGGTGAACAGCGATTGGCCCTTTGGGAACGTCTACTGCAAGATCAGCCAGTTTGTCTCGGTTCTGTCCATTTGCGCCAGCGTATTCACATTGATGGCAATTTCAGTCGACAGGTATGTAGATTTTCCTGTATTTATATTCGAAAGACAATAATAAAAACTTGTTTCAGACAATATCTCCAAAAGGAGAATTAATAACAATGAAAATATAAAGTTAAATTGATAGATGATGAATAAAATCGATATAAATTCCGTTCTGATGTACAACTGAAAATTGGACTTTATTTTAAGTTTAACAAAATTCCAAAAAACGTATTTAACAACATTCTAGTAATGGACGGTTAGAAAATACTTTCAATCATTACTTATTAAATCGTTAAGAGGGAGGGAGACATGAAAAGCTAGAAATAAGTATATCAGTATATAAAAAATTATATTATATATTGAGAATATTCCTACATTTCCTCTTTCTACAAGTTCGTAGCTATTTTGGACGACCAAGTTGTTGTAATCGAAGGGCAAACGAGAAAATAATTGACGCAAGCGGTTGTCGAGTTAATCGCCAAATAGTACATTCCCGTATACTTGTCGAACGTGTACTTGTCGTCCTAGGAAGGTCAATGAGGATCTTTAACGTCCGCACCTAGCCTATTCGGCCTTATCGGAGGTTTTGATTCCTAAGATGAGAGCTGACGCACCTCCGCATACGGCTGGATGGTTTTACTGCCGCAGGGTTGGTGTAGAGGCAGGTCAGCCCCGAAGGGCCAAGACAACCTCGCACCCCGCTTGCCCATTCCGCGTCGTCGGGTCCGCATTAAGCATCGAACCATATGCTGCGCACAAAGGGCTACCTAAGCCGAAATACATCACCCCGGTGTATGCAGACAGGATCTGGTACCCTAACCTTCGTCTGATAAGGCACTCGCTGTTCATGCCGACTCGAGGCTGACACGAGTACAGCTTGTGCTTTAGAGAGGTTGCCACGCCTTCTGGGCTACACCTTTATTTTGCGCCCGGTAACCCGGGTAACCAAGGGTTTGCAGGGGGTCACAGTATAGAATGAAGGAACCTGCGCTCCCTAGATAGAGAAGACCACTCTATCTCCCAGAGTATTGGGGCTTCCCCAGCGTAGAAACTACCGGATCCGCTCCGGCCGCGTTTAAAGTGGGATTGCTAACCATCTCCTAGAGGAGTACCGCCTACGGTAAAAGTCTCCAATCGAGCTCAGCATACACCTACGTGCAAAGCATACTCGAGTAGGAGCAATTGATTCACTACCCGTTCCCATTCGCCATTACTCACGCATTCGAGGGACTTTCCAGCATAATCATAGCGTCCTCAACGCTTAAACGCTGCCGTCCGATCTGCAGTATCCCGTGAGGCCGGGAGTATAACGATGGTCATACGCAAGTTTCGTGCGAAGGTCACAGGGAGAAGACAGCCTCTTCTTTAAGTTTCCGCCAGGGGCGTCGCCACGAACCACTACGAATCCATTCCCATTGTAACAGGGGCTGAATTTTGGAACATTTTTGTAACCCGTAGTTATGGTTATGCATCCTCCCCCGTCTATGCACACAGGATCTGGTACGCCTACCACATCATACCACCCTCGTGTGCCTCTGATAAGGCACGCGCCGCCCATGACGACCCGAGGCCGACACGAGTACATCTTGTGTTTTAGAGAGGTTGCCACGCCCTCTGGGCTACACCTTTATTTTGCGCCCGGACACCCCCTTGTACCCAAGTGTTGGGAGGGGGTCACAGGATAGAATGAAGGAACCTGGATTGAGAAAGGGACGTGGATGAGGGCACGAGGTCGGCCGTTTAGGGGTCTCGAGCCTCAACCACATTACACCACCCGTCGTCGCCGTCGTCAAATAGCGTGAGCTTGCGAAGCTAAAGGTAGCCCCCGAAAAGTGCCACACCCAAATGATCAAAGGGAAAATGGGTACGCCTCCCCCGTCATACAACAGGATAGAGGGTAAACGAGTAAAGCCAAGCGATCAAGACAAGTACTTGGGAGTAATATTAGGAGATATGCTGAGCCCGGTACACCACCCTATTAAAATAAGGGAAACGACAAGAAGTGTGCACAATAGATTGAACGGAATAGCGAAAGTGGAATATGGGCTTAGCACAAATGCGCTCTCCACAATCTATAAAAGTGTCTTCCTCCCAATAGCAAGTTATGGTGCAGCTAGATCAGCCAAACCACTACCGAGCAAAACCAAATAATAGCGAAAAGCCAACGAATAGTTCTTATAAGAATCACAAAAGGGTACAGGACGATTTCAACGCACGCCATACAAGTAATTGCCAACGTACCGCCAATAGATCTTGTTCTTAAAGAAAGGGTGGTCATCCACCAAAAAAAGAAAGATGAGACAATTGGTATAAGAGTACGCGAAGGAGAAATAGACTGGTTCCGAAACGCAACTGGAAAGGAGGCGAAAGAGTACTTGGGAAAGATAACAAGGGCATCATGGCTAGAAAGATAGACAAACAACAATAAGGGCTGACATTCAAATTTTTCCCCAGGGTTGAAAGGAGGCAAAAAGCAAAATGGCTACCCCCGACTACTGCGTCACCAAATACTTCGCAAGCTTAAATAAATTTAAGAAAAGAAACATCCCTTTATGCTCCGTTTGCAGCACTGAAGAAGACGCCGAATATAAATTCTTCAGCTGTACCAAAACAAGAGAAAGTTAGCGAAAGACATCACCTCAGCAGAATGGCCGCCTATCTCCATAAACTAGTCTGTGATATTAAATCATTTGTAGCACTAAAAAACTTTGCCTCAATTTCACCCTAATGAACAAGTCTATTTATTCTGCTTACTAAATCTTAAATAGTGTTGTTATGGTTAGAGTTTTACTACCGTTATTTATTTATTACATAATTAAATATAGGTTTAGATTTAGGGTTGCGGGCTGTTTTTCTCTTCTTAGTTAGAAAATTTTAGATAACATAAAAATTTAGAAAATAAAATCACGAAAATGTAAGCGTGCAAGGGGAAACCAGCGAGGTAAGACCTTTTGTTTTAGGTTTTAAAATGAAAATATTATTCCCTCGAAAACCGACCAGCGGTCTCGCCTGAAGGAAAGATCGTTGGGAGGTAATTTTATCCCATTTATTTGAAGTCCTTTCGATTTATAAATTCGATTAATTTAAAGCGTTTGTCCGGTATGGGGTCTTCCTCAGGTACGGCGGGGCGGTGGAAAGGGGAAAAAATATATCGATAATGTTTTTGTTGTCTCGAGCACATGCGAAATACAACATACACTCAATACACACTCATACAAAAAAATAAATAAAATTCTATTAAGTAGATGGAGTACTCAATATTCTTCCATCAACCTGTAATTAACAAACTGATCTAATTAGGGTCGATGGGGTACGTTTTTAAATTTTCCACCATCAACCCAAATCACGTACAAGTACACGCTCGAGGGGCGGTGTGGATGCTATTTCCCCATCAGTTCCTCGCCATTCACTCTAATAAATACACTCACTCATACAAAACACAGAAACACAAATCACAAATTTTTACGGCTATATACAAAAAAAACTTCCCAATGGACTCGATACCGTGTCCGTCCATTCTTAAAGCCTACACGGTCTCTGTACGGAGCCAAGGCTTGACGGGCAACTTCGCCACATTTGGCCGAAAAGCAGGTGCCCGTGTGTTAACCGCAATAATGTTGTCGTTTTTTATTCCGTAGGTTGTTGTCAATACAAAAAGAAAAAAAGAAAATTTTACAATAACATATATAATAAAGAAAGGAATAAAATAAATAAAAAATATATAGCTATTGTATACATAGAAGGACTGACAAAGGAACTATAAAGATTTGTACAAAAGAAAAAGGAAAAATTGAATTTTTTACAAATATTATAAAAACAAAATTAATTCTTTTCTTTCATCTACAAAAGACAATATGAACAATATATAAATTTATTTGTTCATGTAAGGACATATGTTGGAAAATCTTTACAATTTTTCAAAAATCCGTTAAACCAACATAAAAGAAATTTAATTAATTCACTAGTGTTGAATTGCCGCTTGTACAATTAATAAATTTCAATTAATTAAGGTTTTTAGTTGAGATAAAAAGTCAGTGTCAGGAGCTGGATTCGAACCCACGATCTTCGGCTAGATACGCCGCTGCTCTACCACTTGAGCTGTCATGACTTCGATCCACTCGGACACTAACTTCCAATCTCAACCCCACCTTTTGAATTTTCCCTCCTTTTTGCCAGTTAAAATGAAGTATAACTTCACTAAAGCTCTACGTGGCCAGTTCATTTGTCACCGAGAATCAAATAGATTACACGGCATTTTAAAAATAACAAAAACAGCACCACACTTTATCCCCTGAAGTTGATCCGAAAAAAGGTCGGCAAAAATATGAAAAACTTTTTTTTTTCAACTACCGTTCCTCACGACTACAACAAATTTGAAATATCATGGTCTCTTGTATAAATTGTAAACCTTCAGTGTTTCATTTTCATTGGACATGTAAGTTATTTTTATTAATTGTTAACATTCACTATCTTTTTTATTTTATATTTTTAATTCAATTAATTATGGTTTTAAGTCGAGATAAAAATGTCAGTGTCACGAGCGGGATTCGAACCCACGACCTTGGGCTTGATACGCCGTTACTCTACCACTTGAGCTATCGTGACCTCCATCCACTCGGACACTAACTTTTTTATCTCGACTTAAAACCTTTTAATTTAATTATATTAACTGGTCAAGCGGACCACGAAAAATAGTGAATTTAATGAATTAAAATGAAATATACTTCTCTAAACCTCTTTGTGGCCATTTCACTTCTCGCTGAGAATCAAATAGATTACACGACATTTGAAAAATTACAAAAATGGAGGGAAAATTCAAAAGGTGGGTTTGAGATGGGAAGTTAGTGTCCGAGTGGATCGAGGTCACGATAGCTCAAGTGGTAGAGTAGTGGCGTATCAAGCCGAAGGTCGTGGGTTCGAATCCCGCTCGTGACACTGACTTTTTCATCTCGACTTAAAACCTTAATTAATTTAATTATATTAATTGGTCATGCGTACCCCGAAAAATAGAGAATTTATATTTTTAATAT